CCCCCCCCCCCCCCCGCCCCCCCTGTTTTCTGTCGAGGTGTGAGCAGTGCGAGGCCCGAGGCGGGCGTGGCGGCAGCGCTTCGTTGGATCCGCAGAAGAGAGAGGGGACGCGGACGAATCTCTCTCTCTCTCTCTCTCTTGCCCAAAACGAGCTGTCCGTTTGCTAGGCAGCCGACAATGTGGCACCCGAGAGCTTTGCCGCATGCAGGGCTCCCGGTCGCAGATGACTCGAAGGCACACCTGTCAGCTGCTGTCAGTTCAGGTCGCACTACACCGAGCGCGTTGGCGAAGGGAACGCATTCTGCATGGTCCTCAGATCGAGGAGTGGGAATGCATGGCGAGCTGGGAGTGGTCATCAGGTATGGATGTCGAGCTTCCTGAGCTTTCCGAGGCAGGAATCCGATTTCTGAGAGCTCTGTGTGCCGATCGCTGCAGGATGGCCGGAGCCGCGTGGTCTGCTCTGTGCCATGGGCCCGCAGTGCTCGCATCGCATCGTCCCGACTGCGCCCCCGCCGAGGTGCAGTGGCAGAGAGGACGTGGCAGGCCCCGACGTGTGAGGGAGGCCTTGAAATGCGGCCAAAACCCTTAGACTGGGCTCGAGGCTGCGTGCTCTCCACCCGGCGGCCGCGCTGGAACCCGAGGCCAGGCCGCAGAACATCGCAGAACGGACGAGAGCACCGCTCCCGCGGTCGCGGGTGTGTCCGAGGCAGAAGACGCTGACCTTGGACTTCCAGGGCCGCTGCAGCTTGGCCTCCGCCAAGAACTTCCAGCTCGAGGCCTGAGCCGAGCCCAGCGGCCGTTCGCCTCTCGCCGGAGCCTCTCTTGTCTGGGCGAGGCTGAGGGCGATGCGGGCCGGGTGGTGCTGCTCTTCGGCAAGGCTCTGCTCTTCTCTGGGGTCGCTGAGCGGTGCTGCAGCGAACCTGTGACAGGTCGAAAAGGATCGCTTTGTCCTGGACCATTCGCATCCCCTGGGCACCGTCCAGGCCAGTGCACGAGACCTTTCGCGAGGTGTGCATGCTGCGGCATGCAGTCAATGCTGTCTCTGTGTGTGCTGTCCCCGCTCAGGCGTTTGCTGCCGCGCTCTCGGCGTCTCATTGGAAGTAGCCCGGAAGTAGCCCTTTCTTTTTTTTCAGAGTCTCCGTCGTAGGTAGGGATAGGGAGGCGAGGATTCGGCAGCTGTTGGCGCTGCATCGCTCATGCCAAGTTTTGATGAGATCCCGGAAAGAAAAGCAGCTCTCTCCGATTGGATCTCATGTCCTTTTCCCTTCCATGTAGGGAAGGGAGGAACGGACTTGAAACTCGCAGTTCAGGGGAGAACTATAGGCGCTCTTGCCTTCAAGGGCATCCGAGCGAACAGAGAGCTCCCCGCTTTTTGTCGCCACCACGAGAGTCGCGGCCACGCGAGAGCTCGGCAGAAGTCGGAGTGGCCGGACCCAGAGGATCCCCAAGAAAGGAAAGACCGAAACGGTTTGACATCAAGCAAGAACCTCTTTAGAAAGGACTTCGAGATGTGGTCGAAGCAACCCTTCCCTTGTCAAAATGGACATCTCCCCAACGGGCTCCAAAGGGGTCGCGGTTGGGGCGGTGCTTTTGCCATATGTGGGAGGGAGGGTTTGCGGCAGGGTTAGCGGGATTCCTTTGGATGCCGGCGCCTGCGGGGCCAAGGCTTCAAACGCCCAGGGGCCGTGCGCTCGCCTCGGCTTCAAAAGCCGAAGGGGCGCGGAGGCGCGCGCGGTGCTCGGTGCCCGCGAGAGTAAAGGAAGCGCGCGGGTGCTCGCGCGGTGCGCGCCTTGCCGCGCTCTGCTCCGCGCGGCCCCCCTAAGTTGGGCAAAGAAACAGGGTTTAGCCCCCCGTTTTCATCGACTCTGAGAGCCCGAGCGCGCAGTGGTCGCCGAAAATGGGAGAGCTGCAGGGAGATTCAATGGGGACCTCGAGCATCATTGCGAATCATCGAGCGATTAGGGTCTTGACTTTCCCCGTCGCCGCGCACTCAGGCTCCACAGTCCGGTTAGAGAGAAAGAGAGAGAAATTGCGGCCGGGCAGTGTGCGGTGCTCCGAGGGCCCGGAGGGCGGCGGTTTGCTTTCGGCGCCATGCCGGCCGATCTGGACCAGACGCTCGAGGAGATGATCGAGACCACTTGGGAGCCGAAGGGCAAAGGCAAAAAGGGCAAAGGCAAGGATTTCAGCAGAGAAAATGGCTACGGCTACGACGGAAAAGGCTGGGGAAAGGCCAAGGGCAATGGACAAGCGAAAGGCCGTGGTTTCGGGCAGGCTTCCGGGCAAAAGCTGGACATGAGCTTGGACGAGCTGGTGGACGACGGCACGAGCGCAGGCAAGAGCAAGGGCAAGGGCCCCAAGGGCGCCAAGGGCTCCTGGAATACCTGGGACTCGAACGGACATGGCTATTCAGGCTATTCAAGTAACTACAGTAATTACGATGCAAGTTGGGGCAAGAGCTATGGCAAGAGCTGGGGAAAGTCCAGACCCAAGGGCGAGTTCTTCGACAAGGGGAAGAGTTGGGGCAAAGGCAAGGATGGAGCTTCGACATTGGCTTCCCCATATTGGATGGAACATGACGACTGGCGCATGGATGAGGAGGAAGGCAAAGGAGGAAAAGGCAAAGGCGGTAAGGGAAAGGACACGTACGATGCCTACGACTATGACGGCTACAACGCCAGGTACGAAGACAAGGGCTGGGGCAAAGGGAAGGGAGAGGGCGTTTGGGCCCGCAGCCTCCGTGACACGGACATGCGGGAAGATCGAGGCTACGGCAGCTACGCAGTGGGAAGGCCTGGGATGTGGAGCCGCATCGATGAGGAGCGCTCCGATCGACGCGGTGACCGGAACGAACGCGATGCCGATCGCCTACGGCGCGGGGGCGAATCACGGCCGCGGCCATCCGGGCTGCGCTTGGAACGAAACCGCCTCCAAGAGCGGGCCTCAGAGCGGGAACGGGATCTGCGGGAAGCTCCTCGAAAGAGGCCCCGAGAGGAGGACCGAGACGGGCCCCCCCCCGCATCCGCAGCCCGGACGCGAGCACGGGTGACGGCCCCTTCAGCTCCCAAGAGGATTAAGGTCACCAACATCCCCAAGGAACTCAAAGCAGCCGATGTCAGAGAAGCCTTCGAGGCAGAGACCGGCAAGATCACGCTTTGCGAGCTTTCAAGAGGTACATGCCGCATCACCTTTGCTCGAGCAAAGGATGCCCAGCAGGCTGTGGAAACCTTCGACCGTGGTGAGCTCAACGGCAAGGTCATCTCAGTCATTTTGGAGGACTAATGTAAACAGATGCGTGAATGGCGCAGTCTGCCCCTCTTCACAGCCTAGCGGCCTAGCACAGCCACGTGCAGCCACGTGCAGCCACGTGCAATCTTGCCAACTCGCCGTTAGGACTACAGTAGCTAGCATTTGCACACTCCACTTTCGGATAGTTAGGCCTAGGCCACGCCTGACGATGAACGGCTCAGTGATCGTCAGAAAAGTCGAGACCGTAACTCCTTTCCTGCTAGGAGGCGAGTTGAGGCAGCAGCACCGGACCTGCGACCGGGGCTGACCTGAGAGACGACACGCGTTCCTATGAAAGAGATGGGATCGGAGATGGGATCTGAGATGGGATTTTTTTAGCCTCCCCGACGTCCGAGCTGGAAGCTTCCCACGCTTTTCCTTGGCTCGAGCTGAGAGCGGGTTCAGGAAGCTCTGGTTCCCGGACCCGCCCGGACCCGCGGGCGCCATGGAGGGCCAGGCGCCGTTCCCCAAAATTTGATTTGCTCAGCTTTGCTCGGCTTTGCCCGCCGCCTTTGCCCGCCTTTGCCTTTGCCTGTAGGCAAAGCCCCGTTCACGGAAAGACTGGGCCGTGGCCGCCTCATGGGCTTGCTGTTGCTCTCTAAGACTCTAAGAAGAGCCGAAGAGCCAAGGGCTATGGAGCACGTGACATGCGCACATACACGCGTGCAAAACGCATCGCCTGTGGAAGCAGAAAGGCGTAAGGAACGAGCACATGAAGGGCAGAAGAGGCAGAAGCAATTCAACTATGCGCGACAGTTGAAGCTCAAAAGGCATGGCACTGGAGGGACCTTGCCCCTAGCCCTGATTCAGTGCGAAAGTCGTTGCATTGCAGACGGTGTCGGCGTGTTTTTTCGGTGTTCTGCAACAGTTTAGCGAACGTGTTCTCGGAGTTTAAGTTGCCTTCGATGTTAGTCTGTTGTTCTGACTCTGATTTTGCCCATTTCCATGTCTGAAGATTTGTTCGGTTCTGGTAGCATGTCATACTTACCGAGAATGGACACCGCGGTACCATTTCCCGACTTTTTCTCCCCAAGCTCCACATGAGTTGCAGACATTGGGCAGCCAGCCAGCTAGCTTAGCATGGAAGTGCCCACTCCCCGTTATGACACTCGACGAGGGGATGGTACTTTATTCTACCGTTTTGGAAAAATTTTTCGTTTGAGAGAAATTAGCTTGCGTGTCCAACACTATCGGTTGTGTGGTGATTGATTTTCTCGCTGCTTGTTCCATAGATGGACTAAAGATTGCATGTTTCTTGAGAGTTGCAGGCACATCCAGGCACCTGCCGAGCCGAGGTCTACCCGGCTTTCCTCCTTGCGGTCGTGGCAGTGTGGTCAAGCTTCAGGTGCCACGAAACTGATGCTGTGCGATGCTTCCGCAGTGACTGTTTTGTTGGTGGCTTGGGCACAGGTCCGATGCCTCCGTGTTTGTGTCGCCCGCCGGATGCTGAGAGGCAGCTCTCAGAGCTCAGAGCACGTGCCGCGACGTAGGTGACTTCGAGGTTTCGCTTAAGTCCCGCTCCACACCCCCCGCTGCCTTCCCTAAAGCTCTGACTCGACCACGGTGCCATCCCAAGTTGATCCAGGAAGCAGTCACAGTCTTTGGGCAGCGTTTTCGCGAGCCACGCTGTGGCATCCGTGCGATCGCGAAGCTGCATTTGGCTTTAAAACTAATTGGGCTCCCCGTCGCTCCTCCGGGGCCCAGCCCAGCCCAGCCCACGCGCGCGCGCGCGCGCGAGGTGCGCCGCGTCCGCAAAGTTCCACAAAAGCCGCGCGCGGTGCACAGCGGCGTCAGAGCTAACACCAACAGTTTTTAGCCCTCGCGACGGGCCCTCAGCGCGAGTCGCGTCTGCGCGAGACGACGTGCAGAGGCGCTCGCGCGGTCCCGAATCGTTGTTCTTCGTGAGGTTGCTCCCACGGGCGGCAATGTCGGAGGCCTCTGGCAGCCAGCCCGGCCAAACCTGGTGCAAAGGCAGGCGGATCCGAACCAGCCAAGCACTCAGAGCCTCAGCGAAGCCTCAGCCTTGGCAGCGACTCGGCGACGGCGACGTCTGCTTTCTCTCAGGTGGACGATGCTCCGGGATATCTCGAAGAAGCAGATGCCAAGGAGAAAGGGGAGCGACAACAGTGCATCCTCTCTTCTCGCCTCACAATGCCGTACGATCCGAAAGGTCGCTCCATCCTTTCACGCAGCCTCCATTTCGCAGTATGTTCTCGTGAGGGTTAACGGTTAAACGGATGCAACGATTGGAGACCGATTGGAGACGATGACGTGGGCATGCCGAACGATCAGCGATAGCGGATTGGATTCCGCTGTTAGGAAGCCGCCCTTCATCGCGATCAACTTGCTGAACAAGATCACCCGCATGAACAAGGAAGGCAAAAAGGCTCAAAGGGCAGGGAGGGCAGGGGCGCAAGTGGGGGCTGGGCGCAAGAAGAGCCACGCTCAGGAGACCGTCCGGGCTTTCAGCCGGCAGTCGACCATCATCCCTGCCATGATCGGCCACACTTGTGCGGTGCGACGGGCGGCGAAAAGAGGGCCTCAGGGAGGGCCTTAGATTGGAGTGTTGTGTTGCCAGGTGCACAATGGCCGGGAGTTTGTGCCCATTGTCATCAACGAAGGCATGGCCCGGGCCCCGGCATAGCGGCCTGGCTCAGCGGGGCACTGGCCCAGCGGCCCACAGCTCCGCGGCGCCGTGGACCGAGGTGGGCTTCAAGCTGGGGGACTTCGTGCCGACCCACACCTTCACCTCCCATCCCAAGCAGGCCGAGAGACACTGTGAACTTGCAAGCTTCTCCTTCAACCTTCCTGTGGCGAAGTACCGGCCTTTCGAGCGTAAGAGCACTCTTGCAGATGGACGTGGGCTGTGCTCGCTAACATTTCAATCTCTCCGCTGCTGTGCGGAGGAAGTAAGAAGAAATGGAACTACAGAAAGAGTGAACTAACTAGTCAAAGTGAGCAATAAACTCATGCATTCCGGTGAGCTGTAAAGAAATCACATGTCCAGTGCGATAACGATGGGGATCCATGAGAGCAACTGCTGATGTGGCTGTGATCTCTCGAGGTCTTTCTAGTTCAAGGAAGCATAGCAGGGTGCTGCGGCCACGTGGAGCTCTTAAATTTTCAGGCGGTAGCGGAGCGTTTACAGAGAGCGGCTTGAAGGCGCACCATCTCAGTTGACGAATTTGAAGGTTATGGCAGCAAGTGTGGCCAAGGACGAGTGGCAGCGTGATGGCTCGCAGCCCGCTGCCTGCAAAAAAGTTGCGGAGAAAGGCCGAGCTGAGCTGATGTTGCTTGCGCCCCCCAGCAAGTGCACGAAAGAACGTTGGGGGCAAAGCTTCTGGAGTTCCTGTCTGGAGAAGCAGAAAAGTTCTGCGAGAGCATCCCTTTGGACAAACCAGTCAACTAGGTTGGCCATGAACTTGTTCTGCAGGCACTGGACAGCAAGTACAAGGAGCTTCAGAAGGACGCGCTGCACAAGCACCTCCAACGGGACTTCTACGGCACGACGATCAAGGCGGGCGAGACTTGCAGGAAGGAACTTGATAGTGTAGCTGGACCCCGTGCCGTCGGCTCCAAGAACACTGAGCGGAGTTGCCCGAGGAAGTGAAGGGATGGTGTTTATTCTTGGTGCCTGCCCATACAAAGGGGTCGCTGAAGTACAAGGCTATGTGCGGCAGTGCAGGACATCTTTCCGCAAGGTGTTGCCAAGAGCGGATCCTCGAACAAGGTGAAGGAAGTGTATGCGGCTGTCCCAGAGGACGGTCAAACCACCGAGATGACCGATGACGAGGAGGACGTCTACGAGGTGTGCCAGGCCATAGCCGACCAGCTGCAAAGCGGTGTCGAATACGAAGATGAGGACGCGTTGGATGTGTTCGAGGCTTACAAGGAGGTCAGGATGCAACGCAGGGCGCGGCCACAAGAGCTATGGTCCCGCGCCAGGTTGGACGTTGAATGGTACAGTGAAAGGAAAGATTTTCCAAGAGATGAGTCAGGCTGATGTTCGCAGTCAGCACAAGCAGCAGAGTGCGATTGAGCAAATCCGGAACCCGAAGCCAAAGCTTGTGCTGATTCGAACGCCAAGTCACATGACTAAAGCTACTGGTGGAGTGCACACGTGCAGGACATAGCATGGTAGTCATCGTGCTTCTTTCATTCGATTTGTCGTAGCATGCTGTGCTGAGCAGTTGCGTGAGGGTATGTTTTGCGTTGAAGATGTGAATGAAGCTATCAGCGAAAGAGTGAAATTTTGGAGCCACATTCGCTAAATGCCATAGGGTCGTCAAGATGCGTACAGCCTATGGCCACTGAGTTTAATCAGCAAGTGTGCATGGACACGTTCGGGTTGCAAGTGAAAGACAGCAAGCTGTATTTCTTTTCAGATGTGAAGGCATGCAGGCCCGGGCCATGCGTAACGCGTATCGCAAAGGGCGGAAACGTTGGGCTGGTCCGCCAATCAAGCTGTTGTGTGAAGGGGGAAAGAATTCGAAGGTGAGTTCAGACACGGGTTGGCGTTGGATGGGACGTTCTGTGACTCGTCAGCTGCATACTCGTTTGGCAAAACGGTTTCGTGGAGAAGAAAGGCGATGTGTGGAAAACTGCGTTTCAGAAAGCCCAACTGGAAACTAGGCCACGCAACAAGGCTGAAGTGCAGGAACTCGTGGATTGCGTGACTTGCGTGAAAAATTCTGTGAACTCCATGGCGAGGATGGACGGCTATGCTCCACATAAGGGGAGAGTCTGCTTGAGAGACGGATGGAATTGAGATGTGCGGTGAGGAAAGCTTTCTTAGAAGCTGAGGGGGACATAAAATTCAGGAAAGCGCTGGAACACCGGACGACCGGAACGGGGACCCTTTGAGGAAGGGAACTTTTTTTTCTAGTGCAAAAACAGGCTCGACAACAGACATCACTGGCACTCCCAAAGTCTGGGTAGCGCGTGGTACTACGGTGTATCACTGCAGTCCTGAACAACTTAGGAAGCTGATGCCGGATCAAGATTCCGTGCCTTTGGACTTGGTCCATGTGCGTGATGCTGTGGGAGCCCGAGGAGCTGGGAACTACATTGACCTTAGCAATGAAGAGCAACAGGAGCCACAGGAGTTAGGCCAGGAGGTGCACAAGGAGTGCAGGTTGACACACATGATATGCAAGTCTCACAGAAAGGAGGCGATGAGTCACCGTCCAACACAGCGCGTAATGCCGAGACCACCTTGCGTGTGCAATTCGGATTGAAGCTGATTAGGATGCATGTTGTAGAACCGTCGTGCTTGTTTGATCCGTTGACAGCTCGAATGCCAGTCCGCGTGCAAGATGTGCGTGACTTGTGCATGACTGTGATGTAAAGCAGGCATGGTCAGAAGTCGTGCAGGGAAGGTCGTTGGCAGAAGCATGCTAGTTGTCTTGTTGTCCTGCGGGTGACCTATGGACAACGTGGATTGAGTTCACCTTGAAGGCAGCATGGCAATGGAGGACAAAAGGTGCTGAAGAGTGTCATGACTGCTAAGAAGTTGATGGGTGGAAGAAGAATGCCAGTCGCAAATACGGATTGGAGGCTGCAAAGTTGAAGCAGTGGAAGAGACTCACCACGAGCGGCGCGATTGTTGTACGTGAGTGCGAAGCTGAAGAGGCAAGTGGGAAAGAGATTCCAAAGGAGAGGTTCCTGAAGTCACGGTTTGTCGTGACTGCTCCGCATGAAGGAACTTCGCCCGAGCAGATCTAAAGGCTCGTTGGCGCATAAGGCGATATCTAGATCCCGACGTGTTGGAGTTGGACACGTGCTCGCCAACCCTATCGCCATTGCGCTCCAAATCATGGCTTCGATGAAGTGGAGGCTACAGATACCCGACCTTGAAGGGGCTTTCTTGAGAGGAAGTCGTGGCTGTGGAGTCGAAGGAGTCCAGGCCGGCAGTGTCACAGAGGCAATCAAGCCGTGTACGGACTAGCAGACTAGCAGATGCTCCTCGAGCTTGGTGTGCCAGTCTTTCCCGGTTGGTGTCGTGGGCTAAGGCTATCGCGGTTTGACCCATGCTTGTTTATTACATGTCGATGATTTGTGCATGGCAGAGAACAACACGTGGTCAAGCCTCTCAGAAGCATGTTTCCACCGAAGGAGTGGAAGACACATGTTGGACAGTTGCTGGATAAGTATCCCAATATCTCAAACAGCAAGCGGACTTCAGTGTCACCATCATTCAGGCTGAGTATGCTTCAAAACTTAAGGCTGTTCCTGTCTTACGAGAAAGAAGGAGGCAGAAGGGCGAACGTGTGAGCGAGAGTGAGAGACAGCAAATGTGTGGAGCACTCGGAGGCTTGAGCTGGTTAGTCAGCGGAAGTGGACCGGTTTTTTGCTGCTTGGAGTTCTCTCATGCAACAGAAAGTGAACTGTGCTGTTGTTGAAGATCTGATAGAAGTCAATCGCAAGATTTGTGTGGCGCATAGTGCTAGCCAGGCTCGCATTTGGATCAAGTCCATCCCTGTGAGCCACGTGCAATTTGTCAATTTGTTGTCCTGCTAACAGATGCGGCGTGGGCGAACGGCATGGACTGCTGTTCACAGGCTGGCTTCATGATTGCAGCGAGTGATGAGAAGCTGGAATCTGGCGAGTGGGGTGTTTTCTCAATCTTACGCTGGAAGTCATATCAGCAGGACACACAAACACATTCGACGCTGGGAGCAGAGCTGTTGTCGCTATCGCGAGGACTTGCAGAAGCGAGATGGGTGAGGTCAATGTGGATCGCAGCTATGAACGCTTCCTATGAGCAATTTCGAGACCACACCTGGAGTTGCAAGATCCCGATTATTGCTGTGTTAGACGTCATGCCAGGAGCGTTACGGTGTCTTTCAAGGAAAAGAGGATGGCGATAGAGATGCTGCTGCTAAAGGAAGACGTGGCAAAGTGCAACGTACGGCTTCGTTGGATGGCAACCAAGCAGATGCAATCCCTCCGCCCAACTCCAATGCGTGGAGGCAGCTCTGACGAGCGGGTCGCAACAGGGCCAGGTCCCCGACTTCCCGTGTGAGGCCTACAGAGACCCACATCCGAAAAGGAGGCATGTCAGGATGCGCCTTCCTAGGGAGCCAAGTGACACGGGAGCAGGATCATCCAGGGACGTGTTCCTGCAAATTGCATCAGCGATGCCGATTGGTCTGCAATGGCATCTGGCGAAGCATTCATCACCTCAGCGCCGGAGACGGCTGCTCCAGGCTCGAGCTTCATCTCCCATAGTGCCATAGATGACACCGAGAGCATTGCATCAGGCAGCACGACCATGCCCAATCTGAATCTCCTGGCTGGAGCCTGGGCCGAATTCAATATGCATGGCGTGTCAGACAGAGAGGTGCGAGCCCGTCAGACAACCGATTTCTTTGAACAGCTGCGGACTGCAGGACTGCTAGACCCGATCTCCGAACTTCCGCCTGGGATGCAGCAGGATACCTCATCGACTTCACTCTGGCGAGGCGGGCAGAATGGAACAGAGTAGATACTTACCAATGCGTTACCACTGAGGCTTATGTACGCCCAGAACATGTCATCAACATGATCCCGTCGTACCAGAACTTGCATGCGTTCGCGAGCTTCGATACATCTCACATGCAGTGTGGTACTTATCCGGATGGAATCGCAAGATCTACCAAAGGGCACAGGTCGTCGAGAGCGGCAGTATTGATGGCTTGTCCTTCTTCATTTCGTGGCCTGTAGTGCCGGAACATGCATCACCTCCGTAAACGGGACGGTGTTCTCAGTGAAGCTTTAGTACCCGTTTCATTAGAAGTGAAGTGGTTTTTCAACGTTTTCGGCACCACCCTTTCGGGTCGGTCGCAGACACTGACCTAGCATGCTTGGTGAAACATGGCCTGCTCAATTCTTTTGCGAGTTTGATCCTTTGTTGTTCTCGCGAAGCGATGACACACGATGGCTTAACAGCTAGTCTTTCCTTACATGACACTTGTGCCTTCGCCTCTACCGTTGCACTTAGATGCGCGTGGGGGTGTATTTTGTGTAAGATGTAGATAGCTTATAGCTACAAGCCGTCGTTTGGTTGGGCGCTTTGTCTATGTGTTTAGTTTTGACGCCGCACTCAGAAGTAGGCGTGGCGGGAGGGCTTGAAGCAGCATTCGCTCTAAGCCCTGCCTTGTTCTTTGTCGCCTTTTAAGCGGTGCCAAGGCTCGTGGAATTGGGCCCCCAAAACCATAGTGTGAATGGTCTGTTGGGACCTAATTCCATAATGGTAGCATATATGGACCCTCTGGGTCATACACAAATGTCTTGAGAGGGTGTTTGCACGCTGGTACTTTCAAAACAACGAGGTCGTTTGGTTCAAATGAAAAAGCGTGTGCATTCAGGCTGTTCCGCCTATAAGCATAGGTACTGCATCAACTGTTTAACCTGCTTTAACCCGCATGCCGCATGCTATGAGAGAGAAACTTCGCGGCAGTGGGCTGGGAGATGCCTTGTACCGAGATGAACCTTTTTCGGTACACCCCGCAAACCTCGAGGCAGGGTGTTAAGTTTCGTGTATAGGAAAAGTCCCCTATGGGACCGAGCCCTAAGCTATGGTGAAACACATGTCAAATGCATGTGTGACCACCGAGCACCGTTGGCCCAAGAGTGAAAGGAGTGTGTCTGTGTAGAGTCTTATTGCTTAACTTTACAGCAATGGCATGGTTGCACATCTACATGTAGCTCAAGTGGATTCAAGACACTAGGTCTTTCTGCGTAGCAGTCACAACCAACTTGTTGTCCACGTGCAAGCTTCGTTAAGGGAGGTGGATCACTGGGGAGGGGATACCTTCGGCGGTGCCGAGGCGAATTTATGATGCCGGTTGCAGCTTGTTGTGTCAACCGGTACACGAACGGCTGGCGCACCAAATGCTTGAGCCTCCTTATTCATTGGAGGGCAACGGTTAACATATGCAAACGGCTCGAGCAGGACATGACATGAAGCCTGCAGGTGTGCAGGCCAGTGGCGGTGTAGCATGTAACATGGAACAATCATGCACTTTACACCCCTAAAACTCTTGACAGATCCTGGCGTTCAGAAAAGTGTTGTGAGACGTCGAAGTTGGCGGTGCAGTACTTCCGCAAGAAGAATGCCTTCGTCAGGTATGTACGGTAGCACTGGGCTCTCCATTGGCACAGAACAGCATCAGCAGATCCAAAACGGCTTTCAGATTTACAGTTTGCAGGCTGCGAGTGTAAATGTCTCATGTTGATCCTTGATCGAGGCCAAAGTGACCAAGTACCGCGGACGATGAGATGCAATGTGTAGCTGCTTCGCCCCACTCGAGCTTTTCGGGCCCCTGTCAAAACAAACAGTCCTGTGTCTTTGCCGCTGGCAAGTCCGCAGAGCATGGAATGGAATCGGCAGTTCTGTGCAGTCCCTGTGCTTTCGAAAGGCCCATGAAGCCCCAGGTAGTGCGGTAGCAAAGTGCCGTCGCGCATAGACTTTCAGACCTCCAGCCCAGCAGACTTGAAAGACCCAACAGCTTGTCCATTGCAGCACCTGCATTGCCATTGCATTGCCATGTACGGCCAGAGCGGCTCCAAAGGCAAAGGCTGGGCCCAGAGACCGCATGCACAGAACATCGCAGATGCTTTCCAAGTGAAGGTAAAGGAGGCGATCGCTTTGGAGGCGGCAAAGGGCAGAGGGATGAGCTGCAAGGGCGGCCAGGCTATCGAGACGATCGTGACCGCCGGGCCACGCTCTGAGTTTCTCAGCTCCTCGCGGTGCTTCGAGCGCTCGGGTTTTCCTCAGGAACGGGGTCCGGACCGGATCGAACGGCCAGGTGACCGACGAGGACTGGGCGGGCCTCCTTTGGGTTAGCCTGTTGCCTCCCTTGCCTGTCGGTCAAAGGGGGCGAGCGCCGAGAGCCTCCAAACGACCGTCGTCGGAACGACGCCAGGCCGGGCACTTTTTGGGGCGCTCCTTTGCCAACTTTTCTGCCAGCCTTTTGAAGCAGGGGCCATGGCCATCCCGGAGACGCTCACGCAGCTCACGCAGCTCACGCTCCTCGCGGCGGCGGCGGCGGGGGCCCCGCCACGGCACCTCGAGGTCCGCTCCTAAGACGGCTTTATCTGGTTTGCACCTGCAAGTGGAACTGTGGAGGCCCCGATCGGCGGAGTGGCGACTTGTCCTCTCTTGGCAGAACTGAGTTGGTCTCATTCGGTGGGCGCTTGAAAGATCTATAGGTGCTGCCGTACCACCGCCTGCCTCCGTGTCCGGCTTCGCGTGTCCTCGGCGAAAGTGGAGTAAGTTGAGCCAGAGCAGCCGCTGCTTTGAGCCTGAGGCCAGAGCCGACGATCCATGTTTCAGGTTGCAGCAACGAGACGGTGTCGAACATCATCCAAGGCAGTCCGACGCAGTCCGACGCGGTCCGAATGCAGTCCGACGTAGTCCGATGCAGTCCGACGCATCCAGGCTTGTACAACACCAAGGAGTCCAACCATGGGAAGCCAGTTTACAAGAAGGCCCCTCTCAGCGCAGAAGTCCTGGGCTGTGTGTTGAGTGTCGTGTCTCAGGAGGGGCCTCAGGGAAGTGTGACCGTCTTGATCTACTACTGGGACGAACGCAAGATGGCCGAGAAGAGAAGGGATCCACGCGCTTCGACGGCACCTGCGATGTGGACTGCCAAGGCGACGGGCCTTCCTTCAACGGCTGGTGGTTCGGCCAGCGCCCGATTTCTGGAAGCGAGGCGTACTACGAAAAGCTGTGTCGAGGCCCGAAGGTCGGCGGGGACCAGGTCTGGGCCTACAATGCCGGTAACCTGGGCCGCGAGAACGCCATGCCTCCAACCTCCAACTGGAAGGCCACAATCCGGCACCGAGAGGGCTCCCTCTTCCCCTCTTCTCCGCTGCGTCGAGGTGCCCTGGGACGGCAAGGTGGACGAGAAGCTGCGGATCAGCGTCGGCCGGCGGCACAGTCCGCAGTCCGCAGTCTGCGAAATCTGCGAAGGCAGGCAGGGGGTTGCTTCAGCTTCACTTCGAGGTGCCCCGCGCCGGGACCCACGGGACCGGGAGCGGGATCTCCGGGACAAGCGCGAGGAGGCGCAGCAGAGTCGGAGCAGAGTCGACAGATCAGAGCACCTAAAGCCAAAGCCAAAGCGCCGCGGACTGCGTCTCTGCCTGAGGAGAAGCGCCGCCGTGAGGAGGAGGAGCGGCGGCAGCGGGAGGCCAGGTGCAGCGGCCGCGGGGGCGGGGGGCGGGGGGGCGCTCTGGAGACTCTCGCTGAGCCAGGAAGCGCGGCGGCGTCGGCAGCGTGAGGAAGAGCAGCAACGGGAGCAGGCCAGGGACCCGACGTCCATGCTTGCAAGTTCCGTGCGAAATTGCGGTGTGCATCATATATATATATATACATACATATACATATATGTGAGAGAGAGGCGCCTCTAGGGTCTATTTGACGCCCTATTTTTTCCCTATACGACTAATAAGAATATTAATAATTGAAATAATTGAATTAATTGAAATCAGCAGGACCGATTTCATTATTCAATTATTTCAATTATTTGGGACACCCCAAGAAGCGAAATAATTGAAATAATTGAAATACGTGGGGTTTGTGGTTTTGCCACCAAACCCACCGATTTCAATAATTGAAATAATTGAAATACTTGAAATAATTGAAATAATTGAAATCCGGCCGATTTCAATTATTTCAACTATTTCAATTATTTGGGCCACCCAAGAATTGAAATAATTGAAATCGGCCCCATTTCAATTATTTCAACTATTGAAATCCTGGGGTTCGGCGGCT